GCCGAACGATTCGTCAGATCTTTTAAAACTGCTGTTCAGAAAAACATTGACGATGGATTGTCTCTCAAATTCGCTGTATCAAAATATCTTGCAACATATCGTGCAATGCCGAATGCTGAGGGTAAATCACCTGCAGAACTTTTACATGGAAGGCCTGTTCGTACCTTGTTGAGTCAACTGTTTGAATCGCCTAGAAAGCACCTTGAAGCTTTGAAACGGAAAATGAAATTCAGTCTAAAGCAACCCGTCTTCGCTCGAAACTACGCAAGAGGGGAAAAATGGATAAAAGGAGTTATTGTGAAACAACTTGGTAAAATGGTTTACCGAGTGAACACATCTTTTGGTTACATCAAACGTCATGTTAATCAGCTTAAAACTAGAAGTAGCTCTGACCTCTCTTCACAACCAATTTTTGAATTCGCTCCAAATTTCATCAATGCCACACCGCCTTCATCTAGCCAATCAACATTAATGCCTAGTGAAGAACGTTCTACCGAAGTAGTTCAACTTCGAAAAAGTGGTCGTATTCGGAAGGATGTAATTCGATTTGAATCCGACGATTTCAGGAAAACTTAAGCCTTGTCAAAAATTAAGGGCAGAGAAAGTGTTATAATCTAGTATGTTTTGCATTAGTTTAAGCAATCTTAAATAATGAAATGTAAACAAAATTTAGTTAAATATAAACTGTCAATCTTGTCGGTTGTATTTACTTCACCAAATACAAATGCTCTTTAATACATTTTCTATGAAATTACAAAAACAACTACCATGTATGACAAACGCATTTTATATTTTCAAATACAAATGCTTTTTAATACATTTTGTATGAAATTACAAAAACAACTACCATGTATGACAAACGCATTTTATATTTTCGTTTTAAAAATATTCGGCAGAAATTGCCAGTTATTCATGATTTTTATTTTTATAACGCGACAATATTACAGAGCATTACGAAGCATAACATAATTTTAAGAGTTACTTCGGCGCTATAAAATTGAAGGCACATAAAATAATTATTTTTGAGGAATATAATATAAAGCAAATTTAATTATTATTTTTTGAGTTTTATTTTAAAATGCGAATGATAATAGTTAAAAGGTGATTTTTATTTTTGTTATGATAACTGTTACGGTTCCTGTTTTGTATTTTTCGATCAAAAATCAACCCTTCCTTTTTTTTCAACTCTTTCTTTTTTTCAACTCTTTTATATTTCATAGAAATACAACTTCCAAATTAAGTGAACATTTTTACCTAACAAAAACAAAAAAAGATGCACTTTCCATGGTCATTCGCCTCCCCTCAATATAATTGTTAACTTTTTCTATTTAAAAGTCTTGCATTTTTTATCAATTATAAGTTTGCCAAGGACATTATTTAGTAAATAAAATGGTTTAAAATATTTATTTAGTTTTCGACCCGGCTTTCATATATACTTAGGAAAAATTTGTATCTTAACTGATATGTTTTATTACAATAAAAACTATATATTCCTACGTAATAATCGAAATATTATATATGATAAACAGAAATTATTAAACAAATTTTTCTGTTTTATACTGCACTATACAAAATATTTAAAAAATTTTTTTTTTTATATTTTATTGGCATTATAAATATAATACAAATCATCCAACCGCAATAAAATAGTATATCTTTGTAATTCATCGCCTAATATTAAAAACGCATCAATGAATGCATACACAATAGGTCTTAGTTTGAACTTTACTTGTGTTACTTGAATTTTGCTACGAGTAGTCCGTGGAACAGATCTAATATCTTTATTTAAAAACACAAAGAAAGCAACAACAATGCACATTAAAAACATCTCCAAATCATTTTGTTCGACGGACACTAAAATAGCACTAAAAACACACTAATTTCGGGAAAAAATAATTAAATAGATCTCCTACTTTCGCGAAAAGATCGTTTAAGGTTCACTTCCTTTGTGAAAAGAACACAAGCAGTACACTAAACTTTTAGAGTTTACGTTCGCAGACACAAACTCTAAAATTTTTTTAATGTGTTTTGGACATGAGCAGTACCCAATGATACTGTACTGTTTATTTCCGTTCACTGCCCTTTATATACTTTATATAATATTAAATATTAAAACTAAAGTAAGTTACCATGTCAACTACATGCATAACATGACTGCAAAAACTTTTTGTCAATAAGTTCCATCTTGACAAAAAACTGATAATTTTTTTGGTTGGTAAATTGCAGTGGGACGTAAACAGATAGCTTTCCACTGTCCTCAATTAGTGTTTTTTCGCCGTTTTGCTATCACCTTTCTGGAAAAAAAATTCGGACTAAATTCATCTCTTCGAATTCAGATAATTTAATAGATCTTTCATACATACCGATGAACAGTGCGACAAGCTGCCACAAAACACTTCCCTAAAAACCTATTTCTGCTGGACACCAGAGAAAATGTTTAATAAATTCTGTTTTCAGGAAATTTCCAAGATTTCTGTTACTCTGTGTGGATTTCTTTACACCTGTGATCGCAGAGAGCTGCAGTAAACCTAGACCTAGTCTTATTTATGTAAGCCTTGTTAACCGAGAAGTTACATATGATCGCAGTGTCGTCCATTTATTATTGACAAAACTAAGAAAGTAGAGATTAGTACTTCTCCTAACGATCTCCAGTGAAACATAAACCGCTCCACCTAGGGATAACTCTTTTAATTATAAATACTCTTTCAAATTTTCTTTTTTTTTGTGTCAGATAATAAATTAAAAGCAATTCACTACACATCACTAAACATGTTTTCAGTCTTTAATTTTAATTTTTTCTTTTGGAAAAGGATCGTTCCCATGCCTTTCAGTGTGCATATAAAAAATTTAATAAAGTTCGCAGTTTTGCAATGACTCCCATAATTAGAAATATAGAGGTTTAATTTAAACGATATGAGACCATTAAAGATTTGAAGCATACGTGCATACCTTGTTTTAGACGATGTGCTTAAAACATCGACCTTGCTATCCAAATTGTTGTAGGTAATTCTAAAATATCGACATGACAATGTTGTAGATTCGGATATTGGGGCACCTATATTCCCCTTTCACCTACATTGCGTGATTCTTTGCAGTGGCATGATTATAAAAAAGATTTGTGTACCATATTTCTTGAAATATGGTTTCCGACTGGTGTGATCAGATCACGGAAATATAAGGTTCATCAAAATCAAAATACCACTGAATGACATGCAATTCAAAAAATTATACAAAATATCATTAATCAAGTTCATACATGTTTAATTTCCAATACAGATACCAACTTATGTTATTATTTAGACATAACTTAGTAGAACAATTTTAGAAAGGCACTTTTTATCATCTAATAATACTATAATAAATAAAAAGTTTTATCAAAATTTGCTCAAGCATTAGATAAAGTATGGCATGAAGAACTAATCAACAAACTAAAATATTATCCACCCCTCCAATACACTAACATATTTAACTCATCCTTAAGTTATATTTGCAATCTGGAAGAGATACAAGCTCACATCGTTCAAAGAAGCATTTTTGACTCATTTGGCTCATATCTCATATGAAGCATTTTTGGCTCTTTCATACAAAAGGAACACCACTGCTAGCAATAAGCATGACTGTTACTTTTACTCGTGACACAGTTATATTCTACAACAGACGAAGGGGAAATTGAAGAATCACACCAAACAACAGTTAATTAATTAATTCAAATCAAATTGATTAAAAAAACTAACCAAGCATTTTGTAACTACATATTAAAAAAACGTACATTATAAATTCAAACTACATAAATAGTTTGAAATATCATAATTACTAAAAAGATAAGTTAAGCACTAACTATAAGAGATAAATTAAATTATGTTTAATCAAAAATAGCTTCAAAATAAGCACTGCAAATATATTTTTAAATAAATTAATTAGAAATCGGAAAATGTGAAATAACTTAGGAATACCAACTTAAATATAATTTGTTATAATATATTAATATATAAGACATGTGTATAAATTATTAAATAAACTCGAATATATATAAAACCTAAATCTACCTCTAGAAGCTGATCATCCACAACACCACAAGACCAATAAGGAAAATATATTTAGAAGATTTAACTCCTGTCAAAACTTCCCCACTCTCAACCTCAACTTCACCAACGCTGATATTTATAGTATATAGTGTTTAACGATTTAATATAATCACAAGCTAATACCGGCGCTCTAAATAACATTACAAACATTTATATATAGGTTTATAGAAAAAAATCTATAAAAGCTGAAAGTCATTCTGAATCTTCAGCATTCGTGTTCACTTCACAACTAAAATAAAAAGAAAACAAATATTTAAAATAAAAAATTAATTATTTACAGGAAGAGCAAGCCTGTTAAAAATTTCAGAAGGAACACACGACTGCAGTTATTCCAATATTTGCGATGGCTACAATAACCTAAATAATATGTTTAACTATATTTTCGGATAAAACCAGCATCACGTATTTCTAAATAAGGGAAAGAAATATACACATCCTTAGCAAAAAGAATTCGGAAAGCCAATTTTAACCATTAACCATTAATAAATTATATTCAATTTATGGATTTAAAAATTTTTAAAACGAAAAAATAAGCTTGCAATATTAGAAACTCCTTTACTTTGCTCGCTGGCATTTTCCACGTTCCAGAGAATCATGACACATAGAAGTTTGCTACCATTTAATTTGTGAAATTGTGGAAGTGCACAATATCTTATCTTCATCAACAACTTCTGTTGAGTCGACCAAAATTCTTAAGCATTTACTTTTCAGTGCAACTGAAAGTATTTAAAACCAAATATTGATTTATACTCAACTCTACCTATTCTATTGACTATCATCTATTTTGATTGACGATCTTCTATTTGTGCAATAATACTCAGTTTTTCAGTTGTTGGAATTTAGTTATCGAAACATTTACTAAAAATAATTTAACATATTTTGTTTGGCGTTAATTTTCGTAATCTGCAGACAAAGTTAAAATTTCGAACATTACTAATGCACAAACAGTTTGTTTTTTACTCAGTGTATTAATATTACAGAATTAAAAATAAGGATTACCATAAATACAGCTTCAAAATTAATGTTTTAAACAAAAGTAATGATAGAAAATAAAACACAATGGCGAACTTGTTCCGGCTTACAAAATATACGAAAGCTTAACGCACGTTTGGGTAATTCATTTAAATTATTTACTTCCACTTCTTGTTTTCGTAGTCCCATTGTGATGATAGACCAGTTACTGGGTTAACTTCCAAATCTAACATGCGTTCCAATTGGGCCTTTTGGTGAGGCTCATCGAATGTTACTGGTAATGGGTCGTAAACTGCAAAGAACGAAGACAATAACGTTTAGGAAAAACAATCATATTTTTTACAAATGCTGCAACTTACCGAAAATGTTCATCAGCATACAAACCCAAATAGCTGCAGATCCAAAGAGCAACATCATACCAATATGCATCTTCCACTCACCAGTTGGTGCTTTTACTTCAGCGAAAGTTTGACAGAAGCTGGCTCTATAAAGTGCTTTCTTCTCCTGCATGCTCAATTTTTTCCAGTCCAACTTCTCTTTCTGGCGCAGGGCATTAATTTCATTGTTTGGCTCACGGAAGCGAACTGCTGGCATGGGATAGTCTACACGATCGTAATAGACTGGATCACCGTTCCAGCCGAAACCAACAATTTCGCGTTTGCCGATTTTCTCTAGTGTGTGCACAGACGCTACACTGCCGACTTGTGTGGCGTTGCGGGGCAACTGTTGTGCCAACTGGCGGCGAAGAGCCATATTAATCAAACGCAATGCCATTTTTCAATCGTGTATATGGTAGACTATAAATAATATAAACAAAATAACATTACGTATATTTTTTTATTACTTTGTACTGCATTTATTATTTAATATTAAGTCACAAGCAGCTGTGACGCGGAGGTTATGTAACAGTGGTTCAGCTGCAACAAAAATGCAGTCATAGCCGCAAAGTCGGAAAAATAAAAACTACTTATAAAATAAAAAGTAAACTATTTTTCATGTCAATATAAAATAAGAACTTGAAATCAATCAATAAATTATGAGGTCTTCGGTGATTTTTGTCGATTTTGCTTTTATCATTTTCGCCAATTTGTCAGATTACACAACCAAATTCAATACTTGTACAATCGAAATTTACATCTTTTTAATTTTTAACAGTTTTATATTATAACACTTTGCATCAATTTTAAAATTTTTTAACTCTGGCCAATATATTATTATCAATTTAATTAAAAAATATTCTTACAAATTTTATAGGAATCTCGTGCGATACTAACTTCACTTCACCGATGTTATGAGGTATAATTTTTACTCACCACGACGTAGCATATCTTTTTTGCATGGATGTACAGCAAATGGTGAAAAAGTGCTTTTATGACACCATTCGACAGAATAGAAGAAAAAATGATTTATAAAGATTTTTTACGCACTTAGATATTAAGGACGTCCGAATACTTTTGAAGTGAAATACTAGAAAATTTAAAAACAAGACTATTAATTATGTTCGAGTACGTAGTAGAATTACTAATATAGTAAAGGGGTTCAAATTTCATTTTTTTCCATTAAAAAATAGTGAAAAGAGTTTGCAAGGGGGCGCTTGTATTTAATATTGTACAAAAATGACATTAATTTCGTTTGTAACATTAAGGAAACTTAAATAAAGACTCAATTAAAATAAAGTTAAGCGAAAAATGAATACATTAAAAAATTAATTATAAAATATTCAAATTGCTTAAAATTCACAATTAACAAAAAATAATATTATATTTCTAAATACTTCTTGAAATATATAACTTCATGTTCATTTTAATAAAAATTTGAATATATGGCCCAAAAAACTTCCAACTGTAACAGCAAACGTATAAAGTAATTAATTACATTTTTTTTGTGGAGTGTTTTTATAGTTCCTATGTAATCTGTAAATTTTTTTGAGAGGGATCTTGGTAATTTTTTTCTTGTACTTCATTTTACATTTTTTACTTTGTAAGATTTTGAACATATCTATTACATTATTCCAATGGAATAGCTAATCACCCAATTTTCGTTGCCTAACCAATGATTTGATACAGTACTAACAATTTTTGTCTTATACGCAGCTTACATTGTGAGATTAAAAGTAGATGAATGCAATAATCGAGATTAAAGTACTAATCTTGTTGTTTAATATTAGATTTCCCATACAAAAGTTAATCTCCTTTTGGTGGAGATTAATTTTTTATCGCCTTTTAGAAATGGTAATTATTTTCCTACGCAACTCTGCAAATGGCTTAATATCGTAGATTTTTTTACGATCTTAGAAAAATTGGAAAAATGTCAAAATCTATTCAAAACAAACAAATTTGAAAATGTCGATTTGAAAATGTTTATTAAAAATGTAAATTTTAATAAATTTGTTTAATAATAGTTTTGTACATATTAATAACTAAAACTTGTTAAATTATGTTGTAAGACTATTTATTAAATTTATATTATAATTTTTTTATATAAAATTGTAATTAAACTTTTAATTATTTACAGAAATTTATCAAACACATGAGACAAAACACAAGAGATACGTCAAAATCAATCTCCAATGTATAATGTAAATGGTGAAGATCAAAAATACAGATCAACTTAATCTCGTTCTCTTAATCTAACAATAGGCCTTTTCGGCGATTCGCAAGTAACGCCTATACGCGTTAAGCGAGATATTGGCATCACTGTTACAATCTGTCAAATATTATGTTTTCGCAAAAAGCAAATCTTGCATATGTGCACATAATACAAGCGAATTAAATTTTGTATAAAAACAAATAAAACTGTATTAAAAATTAAAATCAATAATGGATCAAAAGCAATGTTAAGAATGCAGAAGATTTTGAAATTTGCCTTTACAACAAATTTATAATAGTTAAGAATATGTATGCTTTAATAAGTATTAACTTGTAAGCAACTAATAAGTTAAAAATTTTTAACCGCTTTCCAATTATACTTTCTTCACGAATTTCTAAAAATTTGTGTATATATTTATATCAATATATTTAAAATATTTATTTTCCACAATTTTATATATTTTTAAAATATTTCATTTTCAAAATTTTTAAATTTGTGAACTTTTTTAATTTTGCTTCAATTTTGGAATAATTTTTGAAATTTCCAATGAAGGTTCACAATAGTGAAATGCTTAAATGATTTTAACAAATGACTGGAGTTCTAACGATATTTCTAGTGAATATTCACGATAGACTGATTTTTGTATTTGGCTGCACTAAAACTTAAGACGTCAAAATTTTGCGAGTGAAACCTACATCTAAAGATTTGAAGAGATTTGAATTGTTGTTGCTTCATATGTTTCCTTTCTTAATATGCGAGTATGTTTTTGCTACTCTGAAAGAAAAAAAAACGGTCACTTTACAATTAAGTGCTTACATGAAGTACGTAGTGTTGTTGTTTTGAGTACATTTAAGCACCTTTCAGCAAGCAACTTGTTGTTATTCGCCACACTTAAAAACTGTCGAAAGCAACTAATATTACATAAAAGGTGTATTTCTTTGACATAAATTCTCCAATTATACAACTTTTGATGCTTAAGAATAACTTAGCATCACTGTCTAACACATGACAAGTAAAAAAAAATTCAAACAAATTTGCGGTTGAATTTTATAAAAACGTTTTTTATATAAATATACATATTAGCAATACGGTGGAGATTAAAAATGCAGATTAACTTGATTTCTTTCTCTTATACTGCATATACATTAGGACTTTTCGGTGGCTCGCAAGTATAGCAAAAAACAGCAAGTTGCTGGTCTATACTGGCCGAAATGTACACAAAACAACAACACTATTTTCTATACCTCGGCCAGTAATTGTATACTGGCCACACACTTTGGTCAGTTAAGAAAAAGTGTTACAAACGCAATAAGCAAACTATTGTGAATATTTATTGGAAACTCCAATGAATATTGCAATTATATGTCAAAAATCATGTGTAAACAAAAATTCAAACAAAATTTAAAAATTTCATAAATTTGAAAAATAGGAAAAAAGAAATTTCTTGGAAATTGAAATAGTGATTTTGTAAATAATTCTCACTAATACTATATTCAGACAGTCAAATTTCCTTAATTTCGTAAAAATGTCTTGTGTTTATACTGTCCCAAATTAAAGAAATCATGTGTTTTGTTTACAAAACGAATGTTAAAACTTACTTCCTTCAAACACCTATTGTATCTGGGATATTTTAAAAGTTGACTAATAAACTATAACTACAAAGAACAGTATTCAGTAATTTTATTAGCTTTAGTAGATTTCAGCTATGTGAATCATTATTTTTCACTATATTTTAAATTAACAACAGTTAAAACAACATGTTTTATTAAAGCCAACTGTCATTAATATTTATTTAAAAAGAATGTCACTTTTTTGTTATTTCAATTTTACCTTTTGATTAAAATTTACCTTACACATAGTTGCACTGGAAATGTCCCTTAATTTCAGTTTTCGTTTCAACGAAATTAAGTCCATTTTCCTTAATTCCGTTCTAACTATAAAACTGAATTTTGTATAGAAAAAACAACTTAATTTCGCTAAAACGAAGATGAAATTAAGATTTTTGCGAAATTAAGGTGTGTCTAAAAATAGTATTCCTTTAAGGAAATATAACAAAATTACTACTACGTTCGGCAATTTCATTTATGATCGTAATTACAAAAACAAATATAAAAAACAAAATTAAATTATATTAAGAATTTTCTGTGGACAAAGTGGCCGTAAGGCGCTATATTATAATACTGATTATAAATAAATTCTTGTGCTGTGCGTATATATTTTGTTTATATATATTTTTGTTTTTTTTTTGTCCTTTTTTAAGTATCTACGTGTTTCAAATCACATTTCGAATACTTTTTACATTACGGATATTCAGGATATCTATGCATCGTTGAATGTGTATCATCGAAAACTCAAATAATCGTGAATACACTTTGCGTATATTAGTTTTGAAAATTTTTAGAACAGCTGATTTTTGTTTATGTATTTATTTACTTGTAAATTAAAACTCATTATTGGACCTTATTATTGGTTCACTTTTTGTTCTCACATTTCCGAATATTTTTGGCCAGCAGCTCCGACCATGTTGGACGTAAAATAAATCAAACAATTGCACAAAGTCACAGAATTAAAAAATAAGAAAATCAAAAAAAACTTGACTGTTTCGCTAAAGCATTGCACAGCGAACAATAAAAAAAGTAGTATCATTCACAATAGAGTGTTGGAAATCAAATATGCAAGAGGTAATTGGTGTTGAAAATATGGTCTTGAATATTGTCTTGCAAATCAAGTGCAAAATTATAAAGAAGGGAATTGTCTTTGTAAAATCTAATAATATTGCACATGCAACGATGCACAGACATCCTGAATACCCTTATTATATATATCTTGCTGGCTACCAATTCCTTTCTATTCAAATGCATAACACAAAAAGTACGTAGACTAGTGTATTAAATTAGAATTTTTGACATCCTGAATTCCCTTACTATATATATCTTGCTGGCTACCAATTCCTTTCTATTCAAATAAATGCATGACACAAAAAGTATGTAGACTAGTGTATTAAATTAGAATTTTGATTTTTAAATCGCACAGAAAGCACACTAAGATATTTATAACCTTTAACATTATGTATTTTTCGATTGTTGATCACACAAAAATCTAAAATTCTTTGATCATATGTTGCTCCCCTGTCTTCGTTTTGTTACGCTTCTTTAGATAAGCTTCTAATCACTGCTTCCTGTAAGTAACTCTCTAAAGACAACAGATTAGTTGTAGTCGGATTGTTCCATCGATTGGTTTCTTATTCGCAGCTTCAGTTTATTCAGTGCGAGCTGTCTTAGGTTGTGTAGCTAACAAATAATTTCGGGAAAATAATTGTGTGAGTTTAAGGTGTTATCAAGCTTATATATAAAGAGTGAAGACTCTACTGAAAAGATACTATAATACCCGTTTAATAATAGAAGTGCGTAAAAGTTTTAGTTATGTAGGAAAGAACAGAAATGATTAAAAATTTGGATTATTACTACTAAACTAAAATTACTAAATAAGAATAGTTACCAGTTAATTTTTTTTAATAATATTGTTTATGTTTAAAAACGACTATGTTAACGAAAATAAAAACTTGTTCCTTGGTTTTTTATTTTTATATTTAATTTATTTTATATTATTATTTTCTACATATATAAATATTTTCGTAAAACGTAAAAGGTTGCTTTTTATACAGGAACCGTGTTTTGCTAATATATTTGGCTAAATAAACAATAAAAATATATGTTATCATTAATTATAATATTAACAAACTGCC